TTCTTAATCATTTTCTTTATTACTTTTATTTATTTCTCCTTTTTCTTCTTTAACTTTAACTTAACATTCATTTCATCCTCATTTCTATTTTTCCTATTTCTATTTTATTTCACTATTGATAAGATACTGTTTTTTTTTATAATATTTTATTTTCCTATATTTTTTAATTCTTTATAATCTTCTTTTTCCTAGTCACACACAATAATTCAAAAATCTTAAAACATTTGTTATATTTGCTTGAAAATTTCATAAATACATTTATGAAACGAAGATAACAATTTCATTAAAAAATGCAATTCAATTAAAATTATAATCTTCCTTCAAATTTTTTATTCGATACTCGACATTCCTCAATTCTTCACCACGACGGTCACTTTTCTATCTCTCAATCATCTATCTTTCTTCATTCCGCCTATTTTTTTTATCTCTTCTCCATCCACCGCCTTTAAACCTTTTCTTCTTTCTCTCTTCCTCACCTCTGCTTCCTTCAATCCCTCCATTTTCCAAACCAAAAACATGGCAAACCCACAAACGAACGACACAACGATACGCATCTGTGCTTTCATACTCTCTGCCTCTCTCGCAACTTCCACCATTCCCTCTTTGATCTTGTGTCGCAGACTCTATACATACACAAAAAGAAAGAGAGAAAGAGAGAGAGAGGAGAAGGGAGAGAGAAGAACCAGGGCCAAAAACGGTCTTCAAAGCATAGATTTACATTATATCAACGCTTTTCGTCGAAAATATTTTTCTATTCCACTCATATCTCCGAGATACAAGCAAATGCATTCAATGCACACTCCCTCAGATCAGTTTGCAAGATGTTTTTCAGATTTGTTCGTGAACGTGGAAAATACGATACTCGCGAATTTTTAGCCAATGTAAACGCGGCATTATAATTTTTGGTTGAGACCATTATGCCACGTCCACGCTTATTTTCAGGGAGCATGAGAACGTGGACACTTCACAGTGAAAAATAAACAAGTTACAGTGAACTCGTCTGCGAACAGTGAATAGTATTTATTCGAGAAACAGTGCGTCAAAGAATCTGTTTGCGAATTCAGACACTGCTGTAATGCCGCACTGTTCTAGAGTGGACACGATACTTTTGTTATTTGCAAACAAACGTGAATTAGAATTGTAACTATTGATCATCAATTTTCAGTGATTGATGGTATTATTGAAATATCGTTAATGATTATTCTTATTTTTTCCTTATTCTTAATAGTTATTACTAAGACACGCGAAAATATTAACTCTAATAAAAATAAATTTATTGAAAAACTGTATTGTATTCACTTGAGCTAATTCTATTTACGTTATTTTTTAACGATATTATCTTAAAAATCGTAAATCTACTAATTACGTCTTTAATAATAATATTTTTTAATAAGAAAAAATAGAAATTTCATTCATCAATTATTATTTTCATTCATCAATATCTTGACACTCCATGGCAGTTAAACTTTTTCAAAAAATGAAAAAGAATTATCTATCGATTTTTTTTTTTTTGCATACATGTTCGATACAAGTATTGTCATCAGTATGCACGACTATTTTGGATTTCATTGCATTTTTTTCTCATCCTTTTTTTTCCTTTTTTTTTTTTTTGATACCGTATTGAATGTGTTAATAGACCATCATTCAAAATAGTTCGCGCGGAAACCAGAATGAATCTCGAACTTTTGTCGAACTTTTTTTCCAAATACCAAATTTGTAAACCTGCTAGTAACACTGCTTCCTCATCTTTTTTTTTTTTTTTCCTTTTCTCTCCCTATATACCGTTGAATAATTCATTCTCATGCTATTCGGTTGGTTTTTTGCCTGGAAGGGTTTCAATTTCATGGCGTCTGCGTGGAGTCCTTTGAACGCATGTTCATTCGATTTTGTCTGTAGTTATGTTTTCCACAACTCGGTACAACGAGTGTTTAACTCTTTGTGTGCTGGATACAATTCTTTTTTTCCTCCTTTTTTCCGGGAGAAAAAGGGGATGAATACGTTGCCTAGTAGCGAAGTGCTTTTTGTAATAATGTTTCTTCGTATAATGTGAGATACTCATGGAAATATGAAGTGGGATGTAAGAACATGGTTTAATTATTTTATTTTTTAATTACTTTCTTTCGTGAGATAAGATTCTTATTGTTGATACTAGTTATTATCTCTTCAAGATGATAATTAATCATTATTTGGATTTATTTGGATTTTTGTTAAAATTAAAAAATAGAATTGATTGTAGAAATTGAAAATAATTAGATTGTGAGAATAAAAAGAGAATTAAATTAGGCTTAATCTGATTTGAAGTTTACGAGTTAATAATGGATATGTGAGATTAATATAGTATATAATATCAATAGAATTAAAGAAATTCTAAAATAAATATTAATCTTAAAACTTCAATTATAAGAACTTCTTTACATTAATACAATTTTATAATTTTTCATAATGATTCGTGAAAAAATCCTTTCTTACTGTTCTATTTTTTCTTTTTATTTTAAAAGAAAATTTAATTAATTTTTTTGAAATACAGGAATGAATTTTAAAACCGAATTGATTGTATATTTTTAATCAATTGCACATAACGATCACTATTCCCGTAATAATGATAATTAATTTTCGAATTTAATTTTAATAACATTTTAATTTTAATTTCGAAACGCGTTCGAATTTAATTGCATTTTACGCAGGCTTACACGTTACATACAAGAATTACAATTTGGATCATCAAAGCAATTTGTTGTATTTCTGGTATTAAACTGATTAGCTGGTTCCAAATTATTCAGTTGCATTCTCGGATTCACGATCATTTCGCGTAGTAAACGCTTCATGAAATAAGCTGTTTAAATAGAAACAAACGTTTCATTCGTGAAATAATTTTGTAACTTTTTATTTAAAACGAACTATATTTAAAAAATTTAGAATAAGATATCATTATTCGTTTCAATTTAATTTTAAATTTATTTAAAATTAAATACAATGTTTAGATTTCAAGAAATTAATATTTTATTTCATTTTTCAGAGAAACGACACAATTTGGAAACAAATCTACTCTCTACAAAATCTATACAGAAAATGAAGAACAAAATTTGAAGAATCTAAAGTTAAAACAAAGGAAGATCCTATTATTTCACATAACAATTAAAAAAGAACAACATCTATTGCTCAAAACTCATTTCCATTCTTCTAAAAAGTTCCTTCATAAAAAGAAAAAACAAAAAAAAACTAGAAAAACACAATCAACAAAAATTAAAACCAAGAATTCAATAGGATCCGCAATCCATCTACGCGAAAATAAGAAAAAATTTCAAAGAAAATGCTCATCAGAAATTTTCACCGTGAATCTCCAACATCGAATCGAAATTTCCTCAACAAAAATAACGACGAGGAAACCAGCAACCCCATCTCAAAATCCATCTTCAATCTTCCGAAAGATCCTCCCCTCTTGTAAGGAAGAGAGAAAGAGAGAGAGAGAGAGAGAGAGAGAGAGAGACCACCGAGAGGATCTCGAG